CCAAGGACCTTGTATGCGTATGTGCATGGCCCATGGACATGGACAATGGGGCAGTGAGGGCCTGGGGCGGTGGGAGGGGCAGGCTGAAGGGGGTCAGTTGGGGATTAGAGGGGACACATGTAATACTTTCAACAATAAAGAATTATTAAAAATAAATAAGAGGAGAACTGCGCACAGAGTGGCTGGGAAGCACTGCGTGTTTTCTTGGTAAGCAGGGGAGGCAACCATCGCGCCTCCCTCAGGCCGGGCCCACACCCCCCACTCCAGGACCTCCTGGTCCCTGCATCGCCCCTGAGCTCTGCTGTCCCCACCCCGCACCTGGCAGGCATCTGGGCTCTTGGAAAAGGGGTGCCAGAGCAGAGCACCTGGGGGAGAAACTGCAGGAGGTTTGGGCCATGAGCTGCACGTGGGAGCCTCTGTCCAGTGACAGGGGCCAGGGAAGGATGGCGACCGTGGCTCAGCCAGGTGACAGGACAGCTCCAGAGAGCTGGGAGGGAGGCGGTCTGCCCGACTCCTTCCCCATCTGAAGACTGCACAGGAGACTAGGAAGGAGAACAAGGGACATTCTGCCGGCAGTAACGCTGCCTTTGATTTTGTGCCACATGAGTGTAACCTGGTGGCTGAGCCTGGACAGTGGGTGTGCTTGGGGGTGCGGAGTGCTGGCTATGCCAGTGCCCTCCACTGATGGCAACTCCAGATCCCACGCTTTCCGGCTAATTCAATCTCTCCACGGGCCCCACCAGTCTCCCCCAGACCTCCATGTGCGTCCCTTGCCAAAGGGGAATGAACAATGGGCCTCGAAAGGACTGACTCCACCCACTCCCTCGCCCTCCATCTGAACCATAGGCACTCCATCTTGTTCCCATAGCCTCCATTTTATGAGAACTGCCGTTTAAAGTTTTCCACTAAACACAGATGGTCCTTTGTTCTGTTAATTCCAGGAAGTGACTCCGCTACTTTCTAGCTTCTATAAGCATGCTTGCTCGAATAATGGGGAAAATGAGACATTTTTTTGGGGGGGGACTAGCAATCTGAATCTGTGCCGATAACCTAATGTACATTCTCACCAGCCTATAGTCCAGTCACTGCTCCCTCTTAATAATCTGGCCCCGCAAGCCGTTCTGTTCTGCCGGTGTGGGGGTCTGGTCCGTCCTCTGGTTATCTGAGCTGTGCTCAAGGCTGCAAACTTTCTGCAAAGTACCTGCTAAGCACAGCCTCCCCCTTTGTTCTAACCGGGATGTGTTTTGCCTTTATAAGATCCCCTAAGCTCATTAGGGGCCTCGAGGTTTGGAGAGGCATGAGCCCTTCGCGGCTGCCCGCGGCTGCAATAAAGACTCCAAATTCGGCTCTCTGACGTGGCGTCTTCTGGTTAGCTCGCTGAATTCCAACCAAACAGAAGCAGGAGTCCCGGTGGGGAGGGTGCAATCCAGTGCACATCGTGAAATTAGGAAAAGCCATGTGCACAATCCTCCCCCAGAAACGACCCTCCTGCCTCAAAAGGAAAAGGTGGGGTGCCCGGTGGTGTCCATTAGTGTCGCCAGGCAGTCACTGAGTCAACTTCCGCATTCACAACTGCTGGGTGGGGCAGAGGCCTGGAGTCCTCCATGGGGGGGGAGGAGGGGCGAGGCCTGGGGCTGACTGATGCTGATGGTTTGATTTTAGGGGAAAATGTGGAGGCTGCTCTAGGGTGTGCTGTCCAGACACAAAAGTTCACATGGTTTAGGTTCCACACATATGAAGTGTCCCAAACAGGACAGTCCAGAGGCAGAGAATGGAAGGGGGGGGGGGGCGGTGTGCAGGGGCTGGGGCTGGGCAGTGACTGCTAACAGGGGTGTGTCTGCTTTGGGGGTGATGAAAAGGTTCTGGAAATGATGGGAGGGTGGTTGCATAATGTCTGGACGTGCTGAATTGCACTTTAAAATGGATGACTTGTGCATGGCTAGTGTGGCTCAGTGGACTGAGCATCATCCCATGTACCAAGAGGTCACTGGTTTGATTCCCGATCAAGGCTGACCAATGTCTCTATCTCTCCCTCTCCCTCTCCCTTCCTTTCTCTAAAATCAGTAAAAACATTTCTTTAAAAAAAACAACACTTAAAAATATAAATAAAATGGGTGACTTGTGCAGAATGTGAATTATATTTCAACTAGAAGCCCAGTGCACGAAATTCATGCACGGGTGGGGTCCCTAGCGGCTGCCATCTGCCGGCTGGGGCCTCCCGTCCCCCCAGCCAGCCCCGACCCCTGGCCAAACTCCCAGTCAAGGCGGAAATTTGCATGTTAGGCTTTTATTTTATAGGATAAAGCTGTGCACACACAGCTGTGCAATGCGGGAGCCTGAGGGGAGAGCCATCCCTCCAGGGCAAGCATGTCAAACTCGCAGTCCTCGGGCTGCATGCGGCCCACAAAGAATATTTTTGCCATCCAGCCAATATAACAGTATGTAAGAAACGTTTCAATACAAATGTTGTAACTTAATTTTTACAATATCCTGTTATACATAATTATTAATAACAAATTACAATGTTCACTAATGACGGATTACTATCATCGTGTTGCATTCATTTCCCTTACGTGCCTTACGGCAGGCGCACCATTTCTCTCCACTAATACTAGCAACGAATATTTTAGCAGCTGATGGCCACGTCATTAGTCTTGTTGGTGTGCACTGACTTGTTGGTGTGCACAACAGGAAATATTTCATTTTCAGAGAAGAAAAATAGGTTTATTTGCATTACACTTATTAATTTGTGCAGTTATTCATTGTCTGGTAAGTTAATGTTCAAGAAAAAATATTAGTTTTTATTAAAATGTTCTATTATTTTATGTTAACGACGACTCATTTATTTCAGCCCTTTGTAGTCAGCATGTCTCTAACGAAATAAACCTACGTCTCTATGAAAATCGAAGCAGCCCACATACATTTACACCTGGTTTACTTGACCCGTGTTAGCCTTTGAGTTTGACATGGTTGCCCCAGGGGCTCACGGCAGCGTCTGTGCTCTGCCTGCATGGAAGTCTGCGCAGGCAGCTGGCTATCTCCCTGTTGTGGTAAAGATTCCGCAGACATTACCGTGTAAAAGACCTTTTCCTTGACCAGGCTGCTCTGAGCTCCCCCTGGACCAGGCTGCAACCTGGGCTTCTGGGTCCTGGTAGGATCCAGTTCTAGATGCAACACTCACATCCCCCCACCCCCACCCCCTGCACACATGCACACAGAGTCATGGCCAAGGGACTTGGGCTGTCATTCCACACCCTGTGCTCAAGGGTTAATGGATTAATTATTAGTAATGTTAGCACAAGAGCCTCTGCACTTTATTTTGCATTAATTAACATCTCCATGCTGCACTAATTTTCACATCTTTCTATAGCCACACCTTACACAGAAAACATGAAAAATTCTGTTGTCCAGCCCTAGCCTATTTGGCTCAGTGAATAGAGCACAGGCCTGCAGACCAAAGGGTCCCGGATTCGATTCCGGTCAAGGGCACATGCCTTGGTTGCAGGCTCCTCTCCAGCCCAGGCCTGGGCCCTGGTCAGGGCTCGTGCAGGAGGCAACAAATCGATGTGTTTCTCTCACATCAATGTTTCTCTCTGTCTGTCCCTCTCCCTTCCACTCTCCTTAAAAGTTCAATGGAGCCCTAGCTGATTTGACTCAGTGGATAGAGCATTGACCTGCAGACTGAAGGGTCTTGGTTTGATTCCGGTCAAGGGTACGTACCTCGGTTGCAGGCTCCTGGCCCTGGTGGGAGGCATGCCAGAGGCAACCAATCGATGTGTCTCTCTCACATCGGTGTTTCTCTCTGTCTCTCCCTCTCCCTTCCACTCTCTCTAAAAATCAATGGAAAAAATATCCTTGGGTGAGGATTTTTGAAAAAATTCTGTGGTCCACACTGTTTTCAATTTTTTAAATTCTTACCCAAGGGTATTTTTTCCATTGATTTCTAGAGAGAGAGAGAAACATCGATATTGATGTGAGAGAGACACAGTTATTGGTTGCCTCCTACACAGGTCTTGGGAACCTGCAACAGAGGTATGTGCCTTTTTTTAATATAATTTTACTAGAGGCCTGGTGCACAAAAATTTGTGCACTTGGGGGGTGGGGGGGTCCCTCAGCCCGGCCTGTGCCCTCTCGCAGTCTGGGACCCCTCGGGAGATGTCCACCTGCTGGCTTAGGCTCTCTCCCCAGGGGATCGGGCCTAAGCTGGCAGTCAGACATCCCTCTGGCAGCCCGGGAGCCCTCGGGGGATGTCCACTTGCCAGTGGGGAGCAGACCTAAGCTGCAGTCGGACATCCTTAGTGCTGCTGAGGAGGCGGGAGAGGCTCCTGCCACCACTGCTGTGCTGGCAGCAGTCAGCCTGGCTTGTGGCTGAGCAGAGCTCCCCCTGTGGGAGCGCACTGACCGCCAGGGGGCAGCTCCTGCATTGAGCATCTGCCCCCTGGTGGTCAGTGTGTCATAGTGACCAGTCATTCCCAGTCATTCTGCTGTTAGGGTCAGTTTGCATATTACCCTTTTATTATATAGGATTGATTTCAGAGCAGAAGGGGGAGAGATAGAAACATCAGTGATGAGAGAGAATTACTGATCAGCTGCCTCCTGATAATTGATTTCAGAGTGGAAGGGAGAGAGAGAGAGAGAGAGAGAGAGAGAGAGAGAGAGAGAGAGAGAGAAACATCAATGATGAGAGAGAATCACTGATCAGCTGCCTCCTGCTAATTAGGGGATTTTTAATGATCCCCACACTGGGGATCAAGCCTGCAACCTGGGCATGTGTCCTGACCGGGAATCGAACCGTGACCTCCTGGTTCATAGGTTGATGCTCAACCACTGAGCCAAGCTGGCCGGGTAGTGCCCTTGACCAGGAATCGAACCCGATGCTCTAACCACTGAGGAGCCCGCCAGGGCCACCCTGCTTTTAAAAGTCACTACATGTGCCCAATTTGGAAACTGGGGGCAGAGTCTGCTGTAACTGTCTTCCATGCCCATCAGGTGGCGCCACCATGATGAGCTGCCCTGGCCTCCTTGGGGCCTGGAAGCCCAGCTGGGACCCTGCTGACTCAGGGCCACCCTCTGCACCTCATCCTGGTTGCCCTGCCGGCTACACATTGGAAGGTGGGTCGTCTTGTGCACACACACCTGCGGCCCTCATTTTCTCAATCTGGGCCTGTCTTTCCCTCCTAATTGAGCAGAACTTGGATTGACAGTAAAAGTGTTTGTCTGGTTGACCCTGTCCCTTTCCCTAGGATGGACCAAGGAAAAGGCAGTCACAATGGAAAGTCCCAAGTGCCAGCTGGATGGAGGCTAAAGAAGGTGGCATTGAGCCCAGACCCCTAGTGGAGCTCAGCCCAACCCAGTACTGGAGGCAGCACAGCAGGGGAGGGAGCAGGGAGTGTGCTGCCCTGGGGACAGAGCGCTACAGGAGTGGCAGAGCACATGCACCCAGGTGAACACCACCTCCGGCCTCTGCCAGGCCCAGCAGGAGATGGGGACAAACCTATGCAGCTCTGGTCCCGAGGAAGTGGGGAGATGGAAGCAAGACAGTCCTCTGCCCAAATGTAGCCTCAATGCCACCCAGTGCAGCCTCCACCCGGAAGCCTTCCGGGAACTAGGCCAGCTAAGCACCGCTCTGGTCTGAGGGGCCTGCAGGGTCTGAAGGAGGGAGAGGAGGAACCCACAAGTAGATTGGGGGAGCTCTAGGGACCAGCCTTCCTGGCAGCCTCAGCACGGGCCCAGGTCTGGCACCTACTGGACTAGATCAGCCTGGCCTTTCGCGGGAGGTGGAGGAGGTTCTGATGCCAGGGTACCCGTCCCTTGAGTGGGGTGGCAGCCACCCAAACCACAAGGAACAAGAGTGGAGAATTTCCAGGGCAAGAGAGTGCAGGTGCTGGGAGGGAAATGAGGTGCCTGCTTCCTCCGGGGGCGCTGAGCTGGGAAGACATGCATCTGCGTTGCTCTGGGGCCACAGCTGCCTGGGAGTAAAGTCAGCACAGAGCAGAGCAGAGCTGAGAGACGGAGGCGAGCAGGTCCCCACGCCATCACCCAGACGCCTAGATCCAACTGTGCCTGAAGGCATCAGTGGTTCTCACAACAGGAGACTCTAGAGCAGGGGTGGGCTAACTTTTTGACTCGAGGGCCACAATGAGTTCTTAAACTGGACCGGAGGGCCGGAACAAAAGCATGGAAAAAATAAAAAAGACCGTACCCTTCTATGTAATATAAATTCAAAGTAAACATCATTACATAAAAGGGTACGGTCTTTTTTATTTTTTTTTAGTTTTATTCATTTCAAACGGGCCGGATCCGGCCCGCGGGCCGCAGTTTGCCCACGGCTGCTCTAGAGGTTTTTTCTTCTAAACCAGTTTGATTTAGGATTACTTCAGCCGCAAGGGATCCCAGCAGGTCGTGGCTCAAAGGGAAGCCATATAGTGCCAGGAACCAATTCCAGCATGTCATAATTTCAAGAGTTTCATCAAAAGGTTGATGAGACTTGGGGACTCAACAGGGTTGAGTCACACATGTAGTCACCTCTTGGGAATGGCTGAAGGCATTTCCCCAAACCTGAATAGGAAACTGACTGTGGCTGCCAGACAGTTAAAGGGCTTCTTAATCACATGTTATTGCCTCCTACTGGCCAAACACCTGAACAGCCGTAGGCTATTCCCCAAACTGACAATGCTTCTGTACCCTTGGAAACCTTACCCTTTAAAGTGTATTAGCTCCACCTTGCCTTAGGACAAATTGTGTTAATAAAAGCAGGGGTCCTAGACAAGGAGGGGTCTTCAGCTCCTTTAGCTGAAGGTCCTCTAACCCCCAATGCCTTTCAAAATTATATCTCGCCTCCGGACTCTTATTAGTCTCTGGATTCCTATGTCATCTACGCACAGCCCCTTCTCCAGATTCCTGAACCCTGCTTGATGCTGGGACAAGAACCCCGGCAGCATAGGGATGGAGTCGGCGCTGGGAAGCTGAGGGGTGGTGGGCCCTGGCAGAGGCCGAACCCTTTGTCTACTTGACCCTGATCAATAGCAAACACCCATTTGGGAACAAGTGGGCCCTCCGTCTCCTTGCCTCCAGCAGGGGCGTCTCCACACCCTCGACTCCAGCCGACACATTTGTTCCTGACCAGGGTCACTCATGCCTTTCTAACAGCGTCATAGGCCACTGTGTCGTGCCTGGACATCTCCTTTTTAAATTTTATATGTATCAATATTTAATCTCAACCAAGCACCCAAGCATTGGTGCAAGAACGTGGAAGCCAAGGGAATAAGAACCAGTAACAGACAGGTTCCATCTGCTCCAGGCACTCACGGGTGGCACGCAATCTCCCAGCCAGCCAGCAGGTGGCGGCATCTGACCAAAGAACGATGAACGATGCCGCTCCGAGTTTTCAGGATCCGTGCCTGGTTCCCCAGCACCAGCCCAGGGCGCCCACACCCACCCCTTCTCTGGGCTGGTGAAGGTTCTTGGTTACCTGGCCGTTGGGAAACTGGCCCAGAGTTTAGACATTCCCACAGCCAGGCCCGCCCACACAGGAGGTCTCTGAGCGGAGACCCACAGATTGGCTTTACTTTAATCTCCCCAGAACTCTGATCTGGCCGGGTATTGAAAGCCAATCTCATCAAGCCTCTGGCTTCAACTGACGCCGCAGCTAACAGCTCCAACCCCCGCAAATGCCTGCCGGACCTCCTGGGGGTCCACAGCATACCCTCCCCTCCACCTGGTCCCTGCCGCAGTCCGGAATCCGCAAGGTAAGAAGCCATTGGGCCCCAGCCCCCGTCAGCCGCGCCGCTCACGGTGGCCTCAGGGTACCTGCGGCGTTGGCCTGCCGGTCTCTACCAGTGTGTCCCCTTTCACTGCCCCCAACTCTGCCAGACCTGGGGGGACAGTCAGCCAAGAGGAAGCGCCCCAAGACCCTGACCACAGCACTGGAAAGGCTTCCCTCAGCGCCTCCCGCGGCTGCCTGCAGACTGCCAGGAGCGCAGTTCGCCCCTCGGTGCTTGGCTGTGCAACACCGGGCGCCCCAGGCCCCGGAGGTGGCCCCCGGGGGGGAACTCCACCCCTGCTGCCCCGCGGCCCGGCGTCCTCCGTGCGCTGTGCGTTCCCTGCTTTGACCTCCGCGCGATGCCAGAGGCGGCTCCGCCAAGAGGGGCCAGGGCCAAACGGATGGAGCGGGTGTCCACACGGGATGCGAGCGCTTAGTGGTGGCCACGCCAGGGGGTGGCGGGAGGCAGCAGCGGGAGACGTAACCGAGAAGCCGGGAAAGCGCTCGTGGTCCCGCCGCCTCCACCATCTCCATTCAGCCCTCCAGCCCTCCGTCCCCGCCTCCGGGAGCCGGGCTCGGGAAGAGGCGCTCGCCAGGTCCGCTCGGATTGGACGACCGCGAAGTCCCGCGGGCACCTCCGCGCCTCCAAGCAGGAGTGAGGCGAGGACGGGGAGCTGGGGACGGAGAGAGGGGAGGGGCCGTGACAGAAGGCGGGGCCGAAGCGGGCCTGGGTGGCTCTGAGCGCAGAGGCTCGGGGACCCACAGAGAGCCCCACGGACGCGCGGAGCCCGGAGCAGCAAGGCGGCGGCAGCGGCGGTGCGGCCATGGCCGAGCTCAGGTCTCTATCGGGGGACGCGTACCTGGCGCTGAGCCGTGGCTACGCGGCGGCGGCTGGCCTCGCCCTCGGGGCAGCCCTGGGGCCCGAGGCGGGCCGTGGCTACGGCGCACCGGACCTGGGCGGCGACCTCCCCGCGGCGCCCGCGCCCTGCACCCGGGTTGCGGAGGCCGAGAGTAGCGACGAGCAGAGTGGCGACGAGGACGACGCCTTCGAGCGGCGGCGGCGGCGCGGGCCGGGGGGCGCGGCGGGCGGGCGGAGGCGGCCCCGGGAGCAGCGTTCGCTGCGGCTCAGCATCAACGCGCGGGAGCGGCGGCGCATGCACGACCTGAACGACGCGCTGGACGGGCTGCGCGCCGTCCTCCCCTACGCGCACGGCCCGTCGGTGCGCAAGCTCTCCAAGATCGCCACGCTGCTGCTCGCCAGGAACCACATCCTCATGCAGGCGCAGGCCCTGGACGCGATGCGGCGCCTCGTGGCCTGCCTCCACCAGGGCCAGGGCCTCGCCGCGCCCCTGCCGCCCTTCAGCCAGGCCGCGGTGTACCCCTTCTCTGCGGGCGGCGCGCTGCCCTGCCCGGACCAGCGCGCTGCCTGCCCTGGGCAGCCCTCGGCACTCTGTGAGCACTGTAATGAGAAGCTGTAAGGGCACCACTTCCCCCCCCCCCCCCCAACACACACACGCTCGCGTCAGCCGTTTCCACATTGTCCACGATGACTGTCCCCGCCCCACCGGACCCTGGCCTCGCCGCCTGCCCCTGTGGCCGAACAGCTTGGGGCCACGGGACACTCAGAGCCCGTCGGACGGGAGCTGAGCTCCGAGTGGGGCGCTGGAAGCCACGCCGGGAGTTGAAGCGTCCATTGGGCACTTGCCAACACCGGCCAGGGGCCTGGGGACGCGGTGGAGGGACTCGCAGGGCTTCCCTCCTAAGGAAGCCAGGCCGCAGCGGCGGAGCTGGCGCGACGGTGCTTCCCGGCAACAGCCCAGGGCGCGCAGCCCGCGGCGCAGGGAGGGAGTGCACCCTGCTCAGCGGGCGGGGCCCTCGTCAGGGCCCGTCCTCCGCTGCCGGCTGCCGGGCTGCGCTCTGGCACCTCCTGCTTCTGCCGGCTCCACCACCCGGCGCCCCGGCAACCAGTGCGCCCGCAACTGTCGTTTGCAAAGGAGCTGGACTTCGAACGCAAGAAGAGCCGGGTAGTGGCTTCTCGGCTTTCTCAAGTCTGAGTTTGTCCTCTTGCCCAGCTGGAGGTGTTAACCTCTAGAGGTGAGTGGACACCAAGGCCGCTGCCCTCCAGCCTGCAGAATTTGTCCCCTGAACAGCCCCTGGACTCCCCAGGGGCGGCCCTGCTGGAGTTGGATGGAGACTGTCCTGCGCCCTCTGCTTCAGGCGGCTGCATGGAAGAGGAGGAGTCCGCACGGCCTGCGCCCCCACTTGCCATAGGGTGTGAAGGGTGGGCCGATCTGGTCCCGGTGACCCGGCAAAGGCCCCTCCCTGCCAACCCCCTCAAGCTTTTGGGGGAGGAGGCCGGCGGCGGGTGAGTACGCTAATGGGGCCGCGCCCTGACCTGTGCAAACGGTGAGGAGCGTCTGTCCCCTTTACGTGGGTGTGCAGCTCAGAATTCTGCCGCCATCGGGGTCCATGCGCAGCACACAGCCCCGCCGGTGCCCCGGGGACTGAGCCGTCTGCCCAGTTTGTGCCCGAGTGGCTCAGCTACAATATCTGGCTTTATTAACCCAATTTTCTCTGCTGTCCGTAATGCTATGCTAATGGGAGAGGACTGCCGCCCTGCAGAGCGGCCTGTCTACAGCATTTCGCTTTAATTAATACATTTCAAAGGCCCTTTTATATTTGCAACACGAAGTGTGGATAAGTCGTATTCATAGACATATGCTTAATACCGGTTTCTGCTCATTTCCATTTTCATTTTTCACTATCTTTTCCCGTAACAACCTAGTTTATCAGTGCTGCGCATTCGTAGAGCTAAGCGTTGGGGACTGGGTTTCAAATTCCTTCTAGGTAACTGGAGACAGCACAGCTGCAACTCAAGGTCATTCATGCTGGGGACATTTCGGAGGGACCCTGGTCAGCTCTACAAGTCACTTTTCATCTGAAACAGTTGCTTATTCTGGCTAAGACCACAGATGTTTAGTCCATCGTTTGTATTCAGAATCAAGTATTTGATTTCAACGTGTTTAAATGATTAAATTTTAATATCAAAGTAGTGTTCATTTGTGACAACTCATACTTTCAAAATCAGAGTCTAAAACGTCTGTGAGGTGTGGACACTGATCTGTAAGCAACAAATAGGTGAAATAATCAGCAAAGGTGAAGGGGAAAATGTCTCTGGTGAAAAATAACAATTTTAAGAGAACCATTTAACTAGTCATAAACCCTTTTAATAACTTCATTTAAGTAAAAGTTAAATCAAATTAAAAGTTTTTAAATTGCAAAGCTGTTTATCTGCTGTCCCCACTGGCAGCATGCCTTTCACGGGGGTTGAATGGATGGTTTCTCAACATTGCCACTAATCAAGCCAGCTGTTCCCCGAAATAAGTGTCATTTGGCCCCTCCCAAGTTTGCTCCGCAAACTCCCCACCTAAAGCAACCCAGACACTGGGGACCTTTCTCAGCACAGGCCTGGCCTCCACCGTCCATTTTGCCGCACACACGAGGCCTCGGGAACATCGGCTGGGGCTCTGCTGCCCGCTGGAGGCCCGTGCTCCTGCAGGGATGGTGGCCATGCCATGGGTCAGTTTGAAGGGACTCGCCAGCACCTGCCCGCCCCCCCCCTGAGCCCCCACTTCTCCATCACTGCCCAAGGAGTGACAGAGAGAGCTTCGTGGGCACCCCCGGTTTGAAACAGCCTTTTCATGATGCTCATCCTTGGATCCATCTGAGATAAGGCAGGTGCGCCTGCTGCCATGAGGACAAGTCCCGGGACCGAGGGATTCACAGCCGCCCTCCAACCAGCATGTCCCGGCATGGAGAGCGCCTGCTGTGGGGGGAATTTTACATGTTCTAGTGCTGAGGTAAATAGAATTAATTAAGTAAAGTTGAAAATTAACTTCAACTATTCATTCTAATGATAATTTCTACTTATCCCAACCTAGTGTCAACATGTCAGCATTTTAAAATTCTTAGGGAGATAATTCACTCCTTTTTCATATGAGTCTTCAAAGTGCAGTGTGTCTTGCGCATTAGAGCCAGCCCCGTGGCAGGTGTCCAGTGGACACACGTGGCTGTTGGCCACTGCAGCAGACATTGCAGCTCTGCCTGAAAATGCAAATATGTGAAGGGCGTGTGTTTCCTTTGCTTTAATAAAAATGAACTGATTCAGGGAATAAATTCTAGAGCTGGACAAACAGGAAAGGCTTGTGCCTGTGCCTCTTTAACCTTGGCCCACTGAGTCCCCAGGGCCGGGGCAGTGAGAGGAGCCGCAGCTGTTTTCTACCCAGCAGCGGTGGCCGTATGCCCACCTGGCCACTGGTTCCATCCAGCCGCACGCTGGCCAGCCACACCCGGGCCGGGGCCAGTGCAGGACAGCTCTGGTGCTTCTGCTCTGGCGAGGGGCTGTCTTGAACCAGCACGGCCTTCCTCCTCAATTACCCCCTCAAGCCAAAGGCTTGGCCACACTGACTGCTGCTCGAGCACCTCACACACCAAGCCTCGCTCAAGCCCAGGTTAGGAGCCCGGGAAGCCAGGTTCGTGGGTGCTTGGGGCCGGTGACTCCAGAGGGGTCCCTTGCGAGGTCAGGAGAGGCTAGCAGCCTGGCCAAGGCACCCAGCTTCATTCACTGTTGGGCGTGCCTGCTGACCCCAGAGCACCCACAGCTTGCCAGGTGGAAACGGGACACAGATGCTAAACAAGGTGGTTAAGTAACGATGGGCCCAGGACAGACACAGCGCCCTTTCCCCCTCTCTTTAAAACAACGCCTGCAGACAGATTCTCCCATACCCTGGGTTTGATGCCCTGTGATCAGGGAGGCCCTCAGCCTGCTGCTCTGCTTGCACAAAGCCAAACTGTGTGCTTGATTTTTCACCCGCCGGTGAGGCTCGGTTCCAGTGCTGCCCTAGATCCTTAGCGCAGGGATCTGCGCTTCCCCCGGGTGGAAATTCGCTCCCCTAAAACCACACCCCTGGTTCTCTGTAACGGGATTTGGAACCAACCTCAGGGGCAGAACTCCCCAAACCTGGCTCTGCGCCGGTGTCGGCGTCACACCACGCAGCCAGCTCGCGGGTCACAGCAGCCACAGCGCCTCCAGCACGTGCCCCTGTTGGTTTCACCCCACGTCGGGTTCCCTCTGCACTGACAGGTGTCAGCAGCACCCTCGGAGCTGGGCTGTGCCGGACGTGGAAGCCAGTGAGCATCCCAGTCCAGATGCTTGCTTTGCCAAATAGGTGTCTCCTTCCTTCCCTTGCAGCTGGGACATTAAAGGGAGCGGCACCTGCTGGGGAAGCCTGGCTTCCCCCTCCCCACCCCCTCGGCCCCCCACCCCCGCTCGCCAACTGAGGGGAGGGCGGCTAGAAACCCAGCCGAGGCCCCTGAGCCCGGGGTTAATCCAGCTGAGTGATTACAGCAATTTATCATGTGAATTCGCTTGTGATAGGTTTTTAGCATCCCATTCTAACGGATGGAAGCAGAGAGATTTACAATGTATTCAGTTATTTCTGCAACAATTACCTCAATGGACTCCGAACTCCTGATGTTACGTCACCCTTCCCCAGGGAAGTCTGCTCCATAAAATCAGGAAGTAGCACACATTTGCAAACTTAACCCAAAGTGGCAAACTGCATGTTACCACAGATGCAGAAAGGCTCAATGGATTAGCAAAGTTAGCTTTGATGGCAGGGTTTTGCCTGTTTAAAAAGGGGTCTGTGCCGGCCTGGTCTGGGTGCCGGGCAGATGTCTTCACACCGTGCAAAGGCTGCATCGAAGCGCAGCTCTGAGTGGGAGGGCGGCCGATTGTCCGGCCAGGTGGCGAGCAGGGTAGCCTTGGAAGACACATGTGAAAGGGTCCGAATGAACTGAGGTTTCTGTTCTCCTATTGCTGGTCAGCTTGTGGTCAGGATGCAGTGGCCTCCGTCATTTCCAGGAGGCACAGTCCTCAGTGTGGGCCTGGCCAATGTTCTCTGTTCCCCACGACATTCAGGGCCTCCTGGGGTGCCCCCCACCTAGTGCTGGCCCGGGACAGGGGCAGGATCCTAGCAGGAGGGTTTCACAGAGCAGCCCGCCTGCACCGGGAACACAGTGCCCTCCCAGCCGCCCAGCTTCGCCTCCAGGCCCCATGCCGTCTGAAGCGATGAGCCACACTTGGTTGCGCTTCCAGAGGCCCTGATGTGGCCTGACCGGCGCCCAGTCTGCCCTGTCCCACGTGGACGGCCCTTGAGGCCCTAACAAGACCATGGCCAGTCTGGGAACTTGGACACAAACCCTGAGACACAAGATGGAACCGCACGCTCTGAGGGCCCAAGGCCACTGATAACGTCATTCTGTTGCCATCGTTGCTCTGAGCCCGGCTGGCTCTCTGCACCAGGAGCTGCAAGTCCCCGCCCTCCCCGCATTCCTGCTGTCTGACCCCAGCGGCACCAAAGGTGCAGACCCCTGGGAACGACAAGTCTCGCTTCTCTCGCTCGGGACAGAGCCTCCC